GTGTGCAACTGTTTTGCACCCGTTGTATTTGAACGTAGAACCTATCACACCCGATCATCACGTGGTGTCTCAGCACGAAGAACCTTCGCAACGGCGCATACTCAGGGAGAACACTTCTTGATAATTTAGTGAGAGATCATCTTATAATGCTACCGTCAATCAAAGCAAGATAAGATGCATAAAAGATAAACATCACATGCAATCAATATAAGTGATATGATATGGCCATCATCATCTTGTCTTGTGATCTCCATCTCCGAAGCACCGTCGTGATCACCATCGTCACCGGCGTGACACCTTGATCTCCATCGTAGCATCGTTGTCGTCTTGCCAAGCTTGTGCTTCTATGACTATCGCTACCGTTTAGTGATAAAGTAAAGCATTACATCGCGATTGCATTGCATACAATAAAGCGACAACCATATGGCTCCTGCCGGTTGCCGATAACTCGGTTACAAAACATGATCATCTCATACAATAAAATTCAGCATCATGTCTTGACCATATCACATCACAACATGCCCTGCAAAAACAAGTTAGACGTCCTCTACTTTGTTGTTGCAAGTTTTACATGGCTGCTACGGGCTTAAGTAAGAACCAATCTCACCTACGCATCAAAACCACAACGATAGTTTCTTAATTTGACTCCGTTTTAACCTTCGCAAGGACCGGGCGTAGCCACACTAGGTTCAACTAAAGTTGGAGAAACTGTCACCCACAAGCCACCTCTGTGCAAAGCACGTCGGGAGAACCGGTCTCGCGTAAGCGTACGCGTAATGTCAGTCTGGACCGCTTCATCCAACAATACCGCCGAACCAAAGTATGACATGCTGGTAGGCAGTATGACTTATATCGCCCACAACTCACTTGTGTTCTACTCGTGCATATAACATCAACATATAAAACCTAGGCTCGGATGCCATTGTTGGGTTTCGTAGTAATTTCAAAAAATTTCCTACGCACACGCAAGATCATGTGATGCATAGCAACGAGGGGGGGAGTGTGATCTACATACCTAGTAGATCGACAACGGAAGCGTTTGGTTGAAGTAGTCGTACGTCTTCACGATTCGACCGATCAAGCACCGAAACTACGACACCTCCGAGTTCTAGCACACGTTCAGCTCGATGACGATCCCTGGACTCCGATCCAGCAAAGTGTCGGGGAAGAGTTCCGTCAGCACGACGGCGTGGTGACGATCTTGATGCACTACAGCAGCAGGGCTTCGCCTAAACTCCGCTACAGTATTATCGAGGACTATGGTGGTTGGGGGCGCCGCACACGGCTAAGGAAAAGATCACGTGGATCAACTTGTGTGTTCTAGGGTGCCTCTGCCTCAGTATATAAAGGACCAAAAGGGGGGAGGCTGTCCGGCCACATAGGGCGCGCCAGGAGAGTCCTACTCCCTCTAGGAGTAGGATTCCCCCCCCCCAATCCTAGTTGGAATAGGACTTGTGGAGGGGGGAAAAGAGAGAGAGGGGCCGGCCCCCTCTCCTTGTCCAATTCGGACCAAGGGAGGGGAGGGGCGCGCGGCCCATGTAGGGCTGCCTCTTCTCTTTTCCACTAAGGCCCATCATGGCCCATTTAGCTCCCGGGGGGTTCCGGTAACCTCCCGGTACTCGGAACACTTCCGATATCCAAACATAGGCTTCCAATATATCAATCTTTATGTCTCGACCATTTCGAGACTCCTCGCCATGTCCGTGATCACATCCGGGACTCCGAACAACCTTCGGTACATCAAAATGCATAAACTCATAATAAAACTGTCATCGTAACCTTAAGCGTGCGGACCCTACGGGTTCGAGAACAATGTAGACATGACCGAGACATGTCTCCAGTCAATGACCAATAGCGGGACCTGGATGCCCATATTGGCTCCTACATATTCTACGAAGATCTTTATCGGTCAGACCGCATAACAACATACGTTGTTCCCTTTGTCATCGGTATGTTACTTGCCTGAGATTCAATCGTTGGTATTCCAATACCTAGTTCAATCTCGTTACCGGCAAGTCTCTTTACTCGTTCTGTAATACACCATCCCGCAAATAACTCATTTAGTTGCAATGCTTGCAAGGCTTAAGTGATGTGCATTACCGAGAGGGCCCAGAGATACCTCTCCGACAATCGGAGTGACAAAACCTAATCTCGAAATACACCAACCCAACATGTACCTTTGGAGACACCTGTAGTACTCCTTTATAATCACCCAGTTACGTTGTGACGTTTGGTAGTACCCAAAGTGTTCCTCTGGTAAACGGGAGTTGCATAATCTCATAGTTATAGGAACATGTATAAGTCATGAAGAAAGCAATAGCAACATACTAAACGATCGGGTGCTAAGCTAATGGAATGGGTCATGTCAATCAGATCATTCTCTCAATGATGTGATCCCGTTAATCAAATAACAACTCATTGTTCATGGTTAGGAAACATAATCATCTTTGATTAACGAGCTAGTCAAGTAGAGGCATACTAGTGACACTTTGTTTGTCTATGTATTCACGCATGTATTATGTTTCCGGTTAATAAAATTCTAGCATGAATAATAAACATTTATCATGATTATAAGGAAATAAATAATAACTTTATTATTGCCTCTAGGGCATATTTCCTTCAATCATGTGATGTTCCTTTGGCTTCACGATACTTCACAAAACCCGGGATACATCGGTACCCCCCTAAGTCATCACCATGCTCACTATACCAAAATCCTCGTCACCATTTTTCTTTTCTTTCTCGTTATTGTGTTCTGGCATCCCCTTGACGTAGTCACCTATGCCTGGTCAGGCGATGATGGACGTCGTCAGACGGAGAGGGCCTTAAAAATATCTCTCCATCGTCGGAGAAGCAAATCCCACTCTCGAGCTATGTTGTCCCTTGTCAAACTTTCTAATGAACCTATAAGTTATCGTTATGATCATCGTGTTACAGGTGACGTTTGAGCAACCCCAAAGCCCACTATATGGTAATAAGTGACTACGATATTCTCATGGTCTAAGGAGCAAAATCACATGTTAACACTCTATGTTATTACAATTGATTATAGACGATATTAACTCAATTCATAACAGACAAGATTGGGTCGATTCAATATGACCGTTCTTCCAATGTCATAATCACAATGTTGTTTTAGGACTATCCCTACACTTAACAATATCCCGAGATCTGGAAAATGTGATCACCAACAACACTTGAGCTAGTCCTAGAGGCAAGACTAGGAACCTTTCGTTTTTACTGTTTATTATTCCACACGTGCATATAAGTTTTCTACTGAATCACATATTCCAGGATCATAGCAGTTATAGCATAGAATATAAACTTTGTAATTATGAGTATGGAAATATAACAATACAAATATTATTGCCTCTAGAGTATATTTCTAACACCACATTGACACCGGCCTAGAGCGGACGTGATATCTCACTTGCGCTGGCATTGAAGCGGCTCGTTGGCCGAGAGCGCCGCCTGTTGCACACGCCTTCTCTCCGCACTGAAATGGCATTTGTCTGCCCACCTACCTCCATTAAACCAGCGTGTGTGTGGAGGAACATAATCTATTGCCCGAGCGCCACATGTTCGTCCCTGTGTCGGCTGATATATATTAAGCACCTCTCCGGTAGGTGTCTCGCATCCGCATACTATTTAAACATGTCCTTGCGCCGGGCAGGAACCACACCCTAGTATCACACTCGGCATGGCCTCCAGCTCCAAATTCTTCTGTGATGGCCTCTCTGGCGAGTAGAAGAAGGAGCTCTTCAGCATTGCAGCTGCATGGGTTGCCCAACAAGCCAGCAGGATACAGGAGGGCTTGCCGGCAAGCCCTCCAGAGCAGGTGACACTGCCACCACCAGGACGTCCTCGCTCGTCCAAACTGGCCAATGTTGTCTCCTTGCAAATCTGTCGCGAGCGATGCCGGCAACGTGTCTGACACGCGAAGAATAAGCCTTGTTCGCGGATGTTCACTCAACAGCAGAGGAATTTGACTGGGCACCAACGATGAGGTCACCAACTCCGCGTCAGTCGTGCCCCGACGCCACGACGACCAAGCCGGCATGTCTGCGGCCGCCGCTGACATCAAGGAAAAGTAGAACATGGATGGTCGCCGCCGGTTGGGTCCCATGAAGGCCAACGCTGCCGCCTCACCGGGTTGCACAGCCGGTGACTTGCCCGGGGCATAGGCCACGGCGTCCGTCTTTTCCGTTCCAAAAACCAATTTTAATTTGTGCTTCGCGGTAGCGGAGGGTGGCTACTCTTCCCCTCCCGCTAAAGCATGTCCCTCCGGGGTTTAGGGCAGTCCGATGAGCGGGCTGCCGGACAAAGGGAAGACATGTCATGGAAATGAAGACCCGCCGCGGCCAACTATAGGCTAGTTTAGCCTAGTCTGGTATAGTTTAGTTAAATATAAAGATTTTCATCTGGTTTGTATGAAAATTATCCAGTTCGCATGTAATTTGTTTGATTAGATTCAAATTCTGTTTTAAATGTACCTGGATAACTTTGAATGACCGGCTTTTCCTTTAGTATTTGTGGACGAATGCGGTGTCTGATCTATGGGTCGGTCTTGGAGATGCTCTGAATACCAACGAGTGTAGTACCAACGGGTGTACGACACACAACACATGTATGGCAGGAAGTATGGCAACAATCCGGTCGTACAAAGCACGCCGAGGCCCAGATCGACCAGGAGCTAGCTAATTGAAGCCTGCCCGTTGCGGCGGCCCGGAACCAACTAGCAACTGCCGTGGCCGTTCCCAGAGCGTTCGGGGCCACCACCTGTCGCGCATTTGGATTTCCGTGGCCCCTTTCGGTTTCTCCTCCTCGTCGTACCTATTTAATGCCACCTATGTTCCAGAAAAACCTTATTCAATGCCATCCCCATTCAGGGAAAGGGGAGAGAATCAGAGGAGCAGCAGCCAATAGCCGCCCGCGGAGATAGCCAGAGCCGGAGCCAGAGAGGAAGGCTGGAATTCGAGAGATCGGAGGGAGGGAGGAGGATGACGGAGCGGCAGGACGAGGCGTGGTGCTCGTGCTCGCCGATGCAGTGCAGGATTTGCCACGAGGAGGAAGGGGACGACGGCTGCGCAACCGCAACCGCCATGGAGTCTCCCTGCGGATGCTCTGGCTCCCTCAAGGTATATGTCGTGTATACATGGATTGCTATCATTCTGGCTGTTGTTCTGCCCAATTCCTTGGGTGTTTCCTTCTCCCGATCGGTGCCGTTTCTTGATGGTTGATCTGCGTGTTCATGTCGTGTTCTCCAGTATGCTCACAGGGGGTGCGTGCAGAGATGGTGCGACGAGAAGGGGAGCACCGTCTGCGAGATTTGCCTCCAGGTAACTCGGCCTTCTCTGGTTCCGTTGCATCTCCTTGAAAAAATCTCACTGGAATCCTCGCGTGTCCAGTTATTTCGCTTGATCATCATTTCCTACCGTCCGTTTATCCATGGGAATTTCCTTTTTTGAAAAACTTCTATTCTAATCTTTGCCTGATCATCATTTCCTACTGTTTTATCCATGAGAATTTCCATTTTTTACTTAAAAAATATATAGCAAAAAAAAGAGGACTAGGCTATGGGAGGATGAACCAACTCTGTTCGCCCTTTTCCACGATTTCCGGAATTGAGACCCGTGTGAGTGAGTGCTTCACAGCTTGGGTAGGACTCCTGTAAAGAGTAGATGTTTTTAGCATACCGAGTACTGTACAATCTTTTCATAGATAGAACTCTCCGCTGCTTGTTTCCTTGCTTTTGTTTAACATGTTTTTTTGCTGTCCAGAATTACGAGCCTGGATACACCGTTGCTCCCAAGAAAACTCAAGTTGCTCATGTCGCAGTCACCATCAGGTGCCGCCCCTCCCCACTCATTTTCTCCCTCTCGGCCTCTCCCTCTCTTGGTAACTGGGACCGGTGCTGGTACGCGCAAAGAGGCTATAGAACGTAGTGAATGCTGAATAGTAAAACCTTACTCCTAATTCATGTCTAGTGAGTGACATGCAACTGTCATCAACCATTTGGAATGCCCAATAAAACATTCGGATCCTGACCTGGTTGCCGGGGTTCACAATAGCGAGGCACGACCAGTATACAAAAGTTCAAACCATTCAGGTAAATAAACAAGAATACCAATCAAACAGCAGCTGTCCGTCTCACTCTACGCGGCATGGCATCTTGTTTCTTTAGGACGGGGGGAAAGCAAAGAACAAATGATCATTGACAGAGCCGCCGACCGGTACGTGGATTCGGTCCAGCTGTTTCGCCAGCCAAGTTGTACAGTACCAAATACCAACCGCCTTGTCCTGATTATTCTCCCCATGAGATGGCAGATAAGATGCCCTCCGTTTCACATCTGTACAACCGTGTCCTGCACTCCTGCAGCACCATGCCATTGCAGCCTTGCAAAACTGCAAACGAGTCAACCCGTCTCTTGGTTCGCACTACTGCAGAGATAGGTACCATCTGTTCAACAATGCAATGAGAATACGAGATGGCATGAATGGTCCAGAGGGTCAAATGTTGAATCCTGTCATCGCCATCACACGTTAACCTGTTGTTCGTGGTGCAGAGGGAGCCTGGAGGTCCCAAGGCAGGATTATGAGGCACCGGAGGATGCCGTGTTGATCGGGCTCGACGCGGCGGTGGGTGACCCGGCCTACGCCGAGTGCGCGAGCGCCGCCGGCAGAAGTGCCGCCTGGTGCCGGTCGGTGACGGTGACGGTACACCCCTGACCGAGACTTTGAACCACATTGCCATGTTCAGAACTTCAGATGCGAATGGCGTTGAACTCTGACCGAATTCTGCTTGTCCGTGCAGTTCACTGTTGTGTTGCTGCTGAGGCATCTCATCGCCCTGGTGACCGTCGGCGCCGCGAATCAGTACGCCTTCAGCCTGCTGACGGTGAGTTCTATCCATGATTTTTCCCTCGGATAAATAAACAAATAAAGGTGATCCATGATTGTTTGACATGTGTTCCTTTTCTTTGAAGATATACTTGCTGAGGGCGAGTGGGATCTTGCTGCCGTTCTACGTCCTCATGCGGCTCATCTCCGCGGTGCAGCACGGCCAGATGCAGTACCGGCTGCAGATGCTCCAGGTGCATTGCGTCGTCCGAGTTTTAGGCGCTGGTTGCAGGGGAGGTTCCAGTGAGCAAGTTTTTGACACCTGTTTCTTGCTGCAGGATCAAAGAAGGAACGCATCAAGAATGCAACACGGGGTGCCCGGTCAGAGACAACAGCAGCATGTGATTCTTGTTGTGTGAGGAGTGGATGTTGTCCGCTAGAATAGTCTTAAATGTATTATTATTGATGTTGATCAGGGAGCAATTAGGAAAAAAGAAAGAGAAAGAAAAATTGTTCATAAGCTTTCCGGTGTGTATGTGCACATATATTTCATTCAGTGATGAATGAATCAACAACTCCAAATCCAGCTTTTCTTTTATCAAGACTGTGCAACCCTCAGCTCTTGATAATCTCAAAATATACAGGCTGCGAAGATGGACTTTCTCGGGGTCTATATAAAGCTTACACCAGCAGACAAGTACTTCCTCCATCCGGAGTTAGTCATCCGGAATAATTTGACACTCAAACTGATTTGTTTAGCAAAGTATTTTCTCCATTTCAAATTACTCGTCACAGAAATGGATATATCTAAAATTAAAATATATTTAAATACATTCATACCTGTGACAAGTAATTCGGAATGAAGGAAGTAGTTATGAACTTTAACTTTCCGCTTTATTCATGCTTTATTCATATGATGTCATATGGTACCGTGAATATGGTCAAAGAGCATTCATGGTAAAAACATTTACAGTCGTACGCCTCAAATTATAAAAAGAAAAAAAATCTCAAACGCCTAGCTGATTGGTATCTATCTTATCCAACACAAAATTCGAGACGGATATGAGGAAGAGCATCTACAGCCGGACGCCTCAAACCATAAAAAGAAAAAACAAACCGGTCTCAAACGCCTAGCTTACCAGCATCTATCATATCCAACACAAATTTAGGGCGGCCAGGCGCGTCCGTCTCGTCGGACTTGACGGACTTATGTTAGGATCCTGCACAAAATCACTCTGAAACCCAATGGTATGACAGTCGTCTCCTTTGAGAGGTGTGAACGTCGCGTGGCCCGCTTCGGTCAAAGCCTGGTTATTTAAGCTGGACAGTAACCCCCCTCCCTTTCCCAGCCCTAGCCACATCCACTTCCCTCCCTCTTCGCGCCACCAGCCCGAGCCACATCCACTCCCTCCCCGCCTCCCCCTCTTGGCTCGCCGTCCGTAACAACCATAGCCCGGTGGAGGGTGACCACCTACATTATGTTGACGTTAGATCGACACTTTCAGCTGCTCGAGAAGATTCATGCTAGGTACGAAGCCTGGATCGCATCCGGCCTGCCACCGGACTTGTGGAGATGAAGGGGAAGGTGGAGGATGCGGAGCAGCAGTCGAAGGCAGAGCAGGCCCCCTAGCCAATGAAGGGGGCAGATTCGAATTCGGAGAACGCGGTGGAGCCAGAGGTGGAGGCGGAGGCGGTTGCGGGCTTCGCCATGGCAGAGTTCGAGGTCGCCCAAGCGAAGGAGGAGGCGGAGCAGACCGCCATCCTGGAGTCCATCTAATCGGAGGCCGCGGTGGAGGCCAACCGGCGCTTCCTCCGCCGGTAGAGGGCGGAGATCGACGAAATCTTTGCCCCTAGTGAGTCTGACAACGAGCCAAAGGTGCCGCAGGCGCCCATCTACCTAAAGCCTGACATGGAAATCATCATGGATATCTAAGTAGTATGTAGGTTTTTATTATGCATAATTTGTATGGATTTGAGGTATCAACTTTGAGGCACCTGGATGCAGCAGACAAATTTTGAAGTGTGACCAGCCACTTCCCGCGGACACGCTTGGGTGCATCCGCGGGCGTTTGAGGGCCCGAATTTGATGTCCACGACTGTAGATGCTCTAACAGTCTTAGCGACCAAATTACTACGAGAAGTATTCTTCATCGTCTTCACCAGGGCGTTAGATCCCTCAAAGTCCATTTAACTCCTTAAATGAAATCTTTTGAGCAGTTAAAGCCTAACTAACTGACCCCAAAGTTATAAGTTATAACTGCTAAAAAATTGAAGGAGTTGACCCTGAAAAGATCCCTTTGTTGTTTAAATTTAAGGAGCCACTCCAATTCTCCCTAAATCCTCTCTCTCCTCCCCCCAATTCACGACAGTGCACATCACCCCTCCAGCGAACCATCCAACCTTCTCGGCGTCACGACCATGCATGCTCGTGCACCCCCACCAACCTCTGGTGAAATTTCGGCTAAGTTTTCCTCTGATTTCTCGTCTTCCGTACCACCCTCGGCCACTTCTCCCCGCTGTCCTTGGCCATGGGTAGAGGAGCACTATAGGCAGAACAACAAGTACAACATGCACTGCACTTACATAGTGTCAACAACCATCGTTTGATTTCGATAGATTCTTGCATCCCAGACCACACCATCGTGCGACTAGGAGAGCGAGGAGGAGAAGAAGGCATCCAAACAAAGTACTACCCAAATCATGGTCCGTGGACGACGAATTCCGCTGACTTTCTTGACTCCTTGACATATACATTGCTCATGTAGGAGCCCCAATTTAGTAAAAGTAAGTATGAGTTAATCCTGCATCATAACCATCTCTTGGCATCATTTGTTTAATTGTGAAGATGAGGATAATTACACACCTCGTAAAAATGCTCTAAAATGCACCCAGAAAATCAATGCACAAGGGTTCGTTCTCTAAAAACTCTAATATATTTATCATAGCTTCCTCTATATATGTCAAGTTTCAAGAATTTTGGAAAGACAAATAGCACACTTGTAATTCACCCACAAAACTTGGTCGAAATTGGGTTTATATTATCAGAAATAAAAATATGAACTAATAAATCTTGTAAATATTTATTTTTGGATCTGCAATCATCCAAGGAAGCCATGTTATAGGTAGCCCAAGAAAACTTGGTGGGCAAGGTGACATGCTAAAAGTGCATCTAATCCCCAAGGCGGACTTTGGAAATTCATGTCAATGTATCTCAAAGAACTAATGCTACTTCAAAGTATATATTTCAAGAAAATTTTAACCAATTTGGTTAGAGGCCTACTAGTGGGATTTGTGATGCATGAGACTCACTTTCCTACGTTTTTTCATTTTCAGTTTGCCCTTTGGGGCAACCATGTGTGGCAATATGTTTGTTGATCTTTATTGTGTTTGTATGATGAACTTCGATATAGTCAGTAAAAGATTGTGTGCATCACTTGATGCAGAGGCTGAAGGGTTCCCCTCTTTCTGAAAAAAAAAATCACTTAAAAGCTATTCCCAATGTCTGTAATTTGAGAAACTTTTACATAAAATCTGGATGAAGAATCACGGAACCTTGACAAGGGCACATCGCAAGGAGGGTGGGAATGCGTGGTGCACTCTACCATATGGTTGTGCCAAGGGTACCCTGGTCTGCATGTCAATACTATCCGACAATGATTCTATGAACCTAAGTTACTTTGTATTGATATATGTGTTGTTTCAAAAAAATGGGTGACTGCAATACCCCCTCGGTGTTTACTACCCTAGAGGACTGGTGGGATCATCAAGAGGGAGAACACATGCACAAAGCATGGTCTATTGTACTTTGTTTGAAGGAAACTATTGGTCTCCTTCTAGAGAACATGAGCCAAAGAGGGGTGACCTTCACTCCAATCATTATTGAGATAGTAAACGGGAGTCCAGGTGTGTTATCCAAGGGTTCCTTTTGGTTTGCACAGTTCTATGAATAAATTGCTCTCGTTAGATCGAATGTTCTCTTTCATATATGTACCTCTAAGCAAAAAAGGCAATGCTCTTGCTAGTTTCTCTAGGAACGAAATCAATTTCTTTGATTTCATCTACGCTCTTAGTATATCAGTATTTTGCTCCTAGACAAAACTCAGTGTCTCTATCTCCTCTTTTTATGCCATCTACCCACTGGGTATAACAACAGTGAAAAAAAATAACTTGCAGATAATGTTGGAAATATGCCCTAGAGGCAATAATAAAATGGTTATTATTATATTTCTTTGTTCATGATAATTGTCTACTGTTCATGCTATAATTGTGTTATCCGGAAATTATAATACATGTGTGAATACATAGACCACAACACGTCCCTAGTGAGCCTCTAGTTGACTAGCTCGTTGATCAACAGATAGTCATGGTTTTCTGACTATGGACATTGGATGTCATTGATAACGGGATCACATCATTAAGAGAATGATGTGATGGACAAGACCCAATCCTAAGCATAGATCAAAGATCGTGTAGTTCGTTTGCTATAACTTTTCTGAATGTCAAGTATCATTTCCTTAGACCATGAGATTGTGCAACTCCCGGATACCGTAGGGGTGCTTTGGGTGTGCCAAACGTCACAACGTAACTGGGTGACTATAAAGGTACACTACAAGTATCTTCAAAAGTGTCTGTTGGGTTGGCACGAATCGAGACTGGGATTTGTCACTCCGTATGACGGAGAGGTATCTCTGGGCCCACTCGGTAATGCATCATCATAATGAGCTTAATGTGACCAAGTGGTTGATCACGGGATCATGCATTACGGTACGAGTAAAGTGACTTGCCGGTAACGAGATTGAACAAGGTATTGGGATACCGACGATCGAGTCTCGGGCAAGTAACGTACCGATTGACAAAGGAAATTGTATACAGATTGATTGAATCACTACTAGGAAAAGGCCTACTAATGGCGCACCGGTTTTGCCTACTAATGGCGCATCACCGGTGCGCCATTAGTAGCACGCCACTAGTATTTTTTACTAATGGCGCACCATTGGTGCGCCATTAGTATACCAGATACTAATGGCGCACCATGTGGTGCGCCATTAGTATATCATTCGGTGCTCCACTGGTATTCCCTCCAGGTGCGCCATTAATAACCTTATAGGTGCGCCACTAGTAATAAAGGAAGGTGCGCCACTAATAAGGGCTTAAATGCGCCACTAGTAATGTATTTGGAAAACAAAAAAAATCTAAATTTACAGAAAACAACCTATAAGGAAAAATAATTTAAAAACAAAAAATGAAATAGAATCATAATTTTTATTATAGTAAGAATATTTCAATGTCTTTACAAGTTTCCAATAAAAGGAAAATTGCAAGGAAATAAAAGAAAATCCTAAAACTAATCTTCTAGTAATCTTTTCTTCTTTTTCTTCACTTTATCCCTGCAAAATGTAACAAAATAAACAGAAACACA